CTCGCATGCAAAACCAACCTTGTCTCCCAGCACAGATGAAGCACACAATGAGAAAAATCCAGTGGAGGAAAAAGTGGAACCACCTCTTTTTTACACAGAAAAGGATGAAAGTATAACAGTTTACATACAATCTGATTGCGGAGTGAGACTGGAATTTTATCATGTACCTAAAAAGTACTATGCATCGGAAGTAAATATACTCGTTGTCAGAGAATGCGGTCTGAGGCATAACAGTTTTCAGCTCCAGTTTAAAGATGAGACTGTCAAACCAATGAAACCACTCGAGGAGTTAGCTGATGCAGAAGGCATTGTGCATTTTCATCTTCATCTGTACGAACCAGAGAAGGACACAGAGAAACTTCGGCTAGGACAGCGTTACTTAGTTTTCAAGTCGGGCTTAACAATCGACGTTGTGGGTAGAAAAACATTTGTCGGTTCGGGACCCGGTGGAAAGGAAAATGTGCTCGAGGTCAATGTTATGAAAGATGGAGAGATGAAAAAGGAAGACATCACGGTTGAATGGCTGCCTCAGGATCACCACAAACCGTTTCTTGGTGGATATCGTCATATAATCGACAAAAAGCGATTTCTTCACGCATATGTTCAAACAAAACGATTGCCCCGACCTCAACCTGAAGTTGAAGTTTTTTCTAGAGATGCTCAAACGTACAAAATGAAACATTTCGGGCAAGCAACAGTAAATCATATGGCAACTCAATTCCCGAAACCTGGATTCTTCGTTTCTAACTATCAAGATAAACTCAAGACTCCTGGAGTATACGAGACAGCCGACGAGTATCTCGCCAGAATACTAAAACAGGTATGCTTCAAAGTCAATTACGATTATATAGTTCTAGAAGGAGGGTTCAAAGAAATATAATCTAAATCCGTAGATCATATTTTTTAGAAAACATACTCCGGAGTACGTTTCCATAAAATACAGAAAAGGATCTTTTGTTCTAACAGACATCGGTTAAGCCAAGTATAATACTCAGATAGTTCAGTTTAGATTTCCCAATAATTAGTGCACCCAATGTTTCATCTAAAAGTCACGTTTCAGGGATATCTATATAAACATACAGGTATGGACAGAACTCGTGCGAATGGAGCTCCAAGTTGAAAAAATGTTTTTACTTCCTTTTTTATTTATTGAATAAACGAATGTACAGTCAACACTGAGTTAGGGGGCCGCAACCATACAAATGCTGCCTGGGAAGACGGGCAGCGGTGGAGCGGTTCGAACCCGGGACTCCCAGGTCACAAGTGGGTGACCTAACCAAAACCGGCGCACGAAATTGTATGGTTAATGGTTGTTCAAACTAAAACCTAACCACTTAACCACTACGCCCCAAATATGTTTCAGTTTTCGATATCACGCTTGTATATTGATGGCCATGGGTAAACGGCATTTATTCCTAACTGCATTTCCCACTACAATGACCTTAATTCCGTTAAAATCACTATCTGAATTATTGCGATTTGATGACAAAAGTTGGTAGAATTCATGCTAGAACAACTGGTGCAATTGCGCAAAAGTAAAAGAGGGAACACAAAATAAACTAACAATCCCTGAGTAATTGTCACAAAGAAATTCCAAATAATTTTTCTATTCTACAGTTGGTGCACCAGTACCCGCTGTATAACTCCAAAAGTTATAACTTTCTGAGGTATTCGACTGGAAGATGCTAAGAATAAGTCGATGCAACTCCAAATATACTGTGCCTGTGTGTGAGGGGAGGGGCAATGCAATATTTATTGATGTGAATGAGGCTCAAAAGGCAAGGCAAGACTACGACAAGATGAGATTTAAAGAAAGTAACACTATCTCACGCATTTGATCAATATATATATATATATATGCTTGTCAACCTGCAGTTTGTCTGGCGCCCGAACGGCATAACATTCTGAAAGGGTGTATTCAAAATACGAATGTGTCACATTACTCGAATACTGTCAAATTTAACCATCACAACTGACTTGAAGTCGGTAGCGAGAAAAAAGGTTTGCACACAGAAAATCATGTTATTTTCTTCCTATTCCTAAATTTGTTTAGTATGCGTTGTTTCTTAAAATTCGTAGTTAGTTAAACACAGTAACAGTAAACATTGATATCGACAGGTTACCAGGGTACAAATGAGAGCGATGCCGAGGAAAACAATTGATTATTTGTTTGTTTCGCCGCACACCCTGGCTATTTTTGTATTTGTATTTTGCTGTGCAATGAAGAAATTAGCTCAAAACGCACATCACAATTAACAGCAGCGGTAAAGCACTTTCCTACATAAAATTGGTTGCGCAGAAAAACCTAAGGGTCCTAGGTTCGATCTCCGGATTCGCACTGCTGATGAGGTCAGAATAGCTCTTTAGTGCTTCCCGGTTTACATGAGGAATTCATAGTATAATGAAATCAACGCTGTCATATAAATGAAGGAAACTGGATTGGTTGGATATTTTCCGGTGAAACTAGCCATGATGGATTCTGTTCTAGTTCATCAGAACATAAAAATTTGCGCACGATGCAAGCCATAGTCGGGAAAATGGCACAAATTAGGTCCAACAATATTGCTTGGATCTTGTTATCAACAACCGTTAAGCATGTATTTCAAAGCGGTGGCTTGGGTTGCTGCTTTTTGGTCACCGATTTATTGAAGGAGTATACGGAAGGCAAGAGCAGTGAAAGCTGGCTTCTTTCTTTACACCCAGTTGAGGCATTCTTCAGTGCCATTTAATCAGTAACGGTGGTTTGCTGAGATTGTTCTAGTTAAGATATTATATTGGAATATTTCCGAAAATTCGGAATTCGCTCTGTTTGGCTTAAAATCCCGTTATCATTTATACGCCGGTGCACTTACCAAGTTCCTATAAACTGTCGTTTCCGGGATAGCAGCTTCCTGGTCTAAACGCGGTTCCCATTAAAAGCAAACGACTCCTGATATGTCATCATTTTCATATTCATCTTCAATGTGCAATAACAAGCCCTTTCCAAAGTTGTAAACAGTCAACTGTAAGTAGTGCTTAGAAGAGAACAAGTACATAAGTATTATTCCGACTAATGTCAGAGGTGAGTCAAAAGGCACCACAGAAAGGTATTTTGTATCATCTGTAAAAACTTCGATAACTAAATAAAACGCGTCAAAAAATTGTCATGACTCACGTGTAATGGTCTATAAAATCACATTTACAGTTATATGAATGGCTGAGATTAATCACTACTTCCATTTAATCCAATATTTTTAGATCATTATCATACAAAAGTATACCCGCCGCTGGTTAGCGAAACGCCGAGTGGATCGCCTGCGAAAAATCAGGGATGCCTACTTGCAGTGGGAAAGAGAACATGAAGCGGCATTGAAGCAGGATAGACAAGCGCGTGTGAATAAAGATCTTGAGAGACGATTACATCCCAAATGCCGTGCTGATTTCGATCGTTTATTTAACGCACTCGAGCAATGGAAACAAGCAGAGATAGCCAAAATCAATGGTCAAAATCTGTCCACAGCTGAGCGTAAAGCCGCGTTAGCCCTCCTATTGGATGAAGAAACGGAGCTCATTGCAGCGATTGGTCGTCATCAGTTGTGTGCATCGAGGAAGGGAAATGAGACTGCCCAGGTAAAGTTGTTAAGAAAAGCGGCGGCACCAATTCGATGGTTATCATCAATAAACGGGAGACCGCTGGAGATTGAAACCCCGCAAACATTACGCGCCAAAGAATTGCTCGATATCTACATCTCGTTGTCTATGGAGTGTTTGACACAAGAAGAGCGATTAGATATATTACTAACAGCAAAACGCATCGTTGGCGAACACCAGATGAAAATAGGCAGAGAGATTATTGGTCTCATCGATCGTGAGGCGGAGCTCATTATGCGCGGAGTGAAGGACGAACAATTGAAAGGACTAAGGCGACGCATTTTGAGCCGTTTTGTAAAGTTCTCAGAAATACCAGAAGTTAATCCGGAAATTGCCAACTATCTGAACGTACCGACCGGGGATCGAGAGAAGATTGTCGACGCACTCCGTGGTAATATACAGTACTGTCTTTCCTGTGATAAATATTTGAAAATATCTGAGTTCCCACTTAGCGCGAGAGCAAACCGATTGGCACCTTGCAAAGCATGCCGTAGACAGGACAACAGAGCAAGAAAGCGCTTAGATTTAGCTCCATATCAGCACATTCTAATGGAGCTTAGGAGAAGCGAGATGAATTTGGTACAAAAAGCCCGGGAGCATGCACACGAGGATGCCAAAGAAGCTGAAATACAACGCCTCGAGAGAGGAGAAATACCTCAACCGGAAGCTACCATGGAGATCGACGGTAGTGATCCGAACGTACTCAACACAAACCCATTTCCTTTCCTTATCAGCAAAGAAGATATTCAATTTTTGGTCGATGATGTATGGGAACGTAGATCCGTTTTGTNTGGATGGATGGACATCACTGACCTGGTACTCACGCGTTGGCGAATAAACGAACCATGGTCACCGTGGAATACTATTTTGGTGACACGAGAAGAAAGTGAGGCACATATTAGGTTGGGAAAATTAAGCCTCGAAGCGGCTTATGCAGATGCGTTGTTAGACACCGTAAACCAGCGACTAGTGATGGGTCAGAATGCTTTTCGGCGGTTGCGTAAGAATGGAATTCGAATGGCATACGAACAAGTCGTAGCAGCACAAAGAATGAAGAACCCGGAAAGCACAATCGAGTGGTTGCGAGAGCGTCGGCAGCGACTACCTCCACTAGTACCCCATCAACAACTGGAGAGCGACTCGGAGATGAGACATAAGGCGATATATCAACCGCCATCTTTTCAATTACCCGCCATCAAAGGCGAGAAAAAGTGGAGCGAGATCCAAGGAAAAGTTCAACCTGCATGACATAATTAGTTATCTTATACAATTCCACAGAGACACACTATCTGCCAGTGCACTGCACGAAAATAATTCGATTTTGACTTCATTCAATGTGCTTATTGTGTAATGTAAGCTCAGTGCTATTTTCGAGCACCAAAATATCACTTTATGTTGGTTAACCGCGCGAAGAGAATAGAATCTTCTCCAAATTTGAAAATACAATCATGAGGCTTCCAAACCGGAAATGGAGTGTATTTTGACGCCTTGAGTTAATCTCCGGAATGAGTAGCCAGTTTCAGTTGAAACGAATGGTATAATGGTATATAATGATACAGTGGTCTATTTGATTGAACTTAACGAATAAATCCACCTGGAATCCGGCAGAATTCTGTCGCGAACTCATTGACAGCAGGCAATCATCTGATTGTTTATAAGAAAAACGAACTGCAACTTTAAAAAAATCAATTTCAAGGTCCGAGTTTTTCACGAGGTAATACTCATCTTTTCTTTCAGTACTCAATGAAATTATTCGACTGGGTTTATTGAGCACAGTCCTAAGATTGCATACCTAGTGACGGTTGCGTGCAGGTAAAGTACAGTTTGCGCACGAACAGAGGAGCCGGGGTCTTGCAGAATTTGGTGTCATATCAAACGCGTAAGACAGATTCTTTGTTGTTGTTTCACTGCAACCAACTAGATGAAGTTAGCCTTAAATGCCTAATGCGGATCCAGGTATACCGACGCCAATGCAATCACGGGAACATAGAACGAGAAGAAAACATCACATCTGCAGACGTACTTGGAATTATTACCCCTGTTTATCTATAAATATCAATTGCCTGGATAAAGCACAAATCAGCGGATAAGAGAGACAGCTTATTCAGAGCGGGTGGGGAAAGGGCGAAAATACGGTTTCACTCCAACAGTTATAGAAACCACCTCGGGATGGTTTCTGAATCAGTTTGTACAACCATGTACAACCGTGGGCCGGTTTTGGCTATCTATTTGGCCTACCATTAGGAGAAAGGAAGGTTGAAGTGGAATCGAAGAGAAAATTAAGAATTTCAGTGGACTAACGTTGCAAATCAATTGAGAAGATGCACGAACGCCACTGTTTACGACTCTCAGTCATAGCACTCAGTGCCTCTAACCACTGATTACGCTGATCCCGAGGTCCCCGTTCAGGGAGCCTATCAGGACCTATGTGGTCCAGATTATTTTCATTTTTATTTATATTTCATACTCGCCTGAGGTTAGACTGTGACGATTAGCAGAACTGACGCAGCACACAATCGAGC